CACGAATGGGCAGCAACGACTCTTCCTCCTGTTCAGGGTGCTCCACGCCGAGAGCATCCTCGGCATCGGGTGATTTGTGGCCGCTGGCTGCCTCCGGTGCTGGAGACAAGGGGGGCGGCAGGTCATCAACATCGGTTGCCGCTTTCTCCATCTGCTCCTCCCTCCTCTTTGTGTCGGCCACGGCATGGCTGTCAGAATACGTGACCGAAGCAGCGGCCTTTTTATTTTTCTCTTCTGGTGGCCGATCTGGTGCGCCTTGTCTCTGCTGTGATGACGTGGCGTCTTGCTTCACTTCTTTGATGACAGAAGTCTCACTGTCAGATTGAATAAGAGTTTCACTCGCATGAGTGCTTTGAGGCGCAACTTTCAAAGACGGAACATTCGCCTCTGGAGTGCCAACAGCGTCCGCCTTCGTTAGCGCTTTAAGTTCATCATCTTTCAATGCGCGGTTGTACAGCAGGACGTTGCTCACCGTCACATCAATGTTGCCCGATTCGCTTTTGCCGTCCCCGCCAATGTAGAAGTGCGAGATGCCGTGGGGCCTCAACAGCGTTTTTAACTTTTGAGGAAAGCTCTCATAATCCTCATCGTCCTCGTGTCCATAGACCTCATCTTCGCTGTCGTATATCGTCTCTCCATCCACGTACACCATCAACCCATCATCAGAATCCATATGCAGTGCCACATGATATTTCGTGTTTGGTTTCCATTCGACATTGTCATCATGCGACGGTGCCTTAAAACTGCCGTTGAATGCCACCCTCCACTTTTTGTCGTGGGTGTACGAAAGACCAAAAAACAGCGGGCTGTCGGTTTCACTCAGCCTCACACCCAACAATGGAATGGGGGTATCTCCCTTCGGCTCACCGTCGATGGACACCGTCGCCACAAGAGTGAACTTGTGGTTCGCAAAGTGGTACGGCACATTCTGCCCCTTCTTGCCAACGGGCCACTCCGCCCACGCTCCCCGGAACTTCACGCCCTTCTCCGTGCTGGTCACTTTTCCCCCCGTTATTTTCGTTGTTGTGGCGTTCACCCCGAGGTACTCGTCCCTCCACGTGCTGTCAGTTGACGTGCTGGATAAGAAGCCAACCAGCCCTTTCGTGAGGTCACCAACAACACCACATTCCCGGCGCTTCTTACCATTGCTTTCGACCGTGCAGCCGTATTCTTTCACAATGTACGCGTCCTTCTCCTTCCAAGCAGCCAACACCTTCCTCATGTCCTCCAATTTCTCCGTCAAGTCCAGAAAAGCAATGTTGTACTTACCGTCCTCTGCAGCAGCAACCTCGTAAGAGCAGCACAGTCTTCCCTCTACTTCCTTCGATTCTCCCTCCTCCAATGACGGCACTTCGTCAGCGGCGTACAGCAGAGTGCTGGCGGTGACGTTCTCATTTTCAGCGGATATCGGCCCAACATCATAAATGCGCTGCATGTCCGTCAGCCACAAGTGAAGTCGGCCCGTTTCTTTTCCCGCCTCCCCGGAATATACCGGCCGGTTGACGAGGATGACTCTCTGTCCATCGATCCTCGCGCTGACAAAGCCACCCTGCACGCCGTGCCCTGTACGATTCAGCGAATTGCCCCACACGCGTGAAAGAGTGCCGTATTCCTCCATCCACCATCTCTCCATGGCGCTTGACCAGTAAACCCTGCGGCTGCCGTCGTCACACGACGTCATCATGACGAGATCGCCGTCCTCCCATTCAAGAACCGCAGGCTGGATGCAGCCATCATCACTCGTGGCATTTGAGAACTCCCAATCAAAAGAAGATTTTTCTGCGAGGACAACCAAAGAAACTTTCTTTCCATCATGCTTCAAGGCTTGAATAGGCAGCGCATGGCGACTGTCGTCCTCCATCCTAATGCCTGCGCCACCACCACCCAGAAATTGTTTGTATGGTTCTGCATTGGCTTTGAAGTTTTTAGAAGGCCAGGAAAAAATTTCGAGGTGGTACCTTGATCCCATCCAAACTCCTTTTCCTCACCACCCCGCCAACAAAAATCTGACCACTCGCGTACCTGGACGTCCAATATTTACCATCACCGACCAACTCCGTCAATGGATCCCCTGACTTGCCGTAGCCCCCAAGAACAGCCTTTATCTCTCCATTGTCCACAATAGAAGTTGGGCTCAACAGGCGGTAAACTTTTATGTCGTAATGATCAAACACAATGGCAGTTCCATTCGCCCATTTCTTTTCATTCACCGTCATCGACTTTGCAACAAGGCCAACATACAGTTCTTTATCCGTGGAGTTTGTGCAATGCGCTTCAACTATGGCCACTACAAGACCATTCACGACAAGAAGAGAAGGTGCACGGAAAGAATCAAACGCTTGTGACATACTTTTGTTCTCCGAATCATCAAACGAATCCCCTTTCCTAAACAGCGTCGCCATTAAATTATTCTCCTGAGCGGCCTCAGCTTCCCAGCTGCCGCAGCACTTCATCACAACGAGGAAGAGCAGCACCGCAGAGTAGAAGTGATTCCGGAACATGTTGGGCCTCTGCGGCTCACTCTCTCCTCCTTCCCTCCTCATGCCGCTGGATCCGGTCACGCGGCGACGGTTGTGTGTGCGGGGTGCCTTCACTGCAGCAACACGTGAGAGCATATAAATATGTGTGTGTGGGCGGTGTGTGGGCGGTGTGTGGGCGGTGTGTGTGCTGTTGGTCCTTTCAGTGCCTTCAAATTTCACAGTAGAGATTAGCGCTTGGTATTAACTTCCTTCTTGGAGGGGAGCAACGGACAACAGCGGCAGAAAGGCAGCACAACAGCAGTACACACCGCCACCACTCACAGCGAACCACAAAATCACCATCCCCGCAGCCATTACTCCCCAGCACCCCCATCAACAGCACACAAAAATTAAGAAAAACAAGTGAGCAGCCTCACAATGAGGTACCGCAGGCCACGGCTCTGCAAATAAGGCAAGCGACAGGGGGCCACATGTGCAGTGAGGAAAAAGAGAGTTGCGCTGCAACGGCACGGCGGCGTGATACCCCGTTGGGAGCATCGATGCAGACCAGCACAGCACGTGCAGGAAGAGTTGCTTCTCCTGCTGAGCAAAAAGGAAAAACGGCCTCAGCAGCCCAATATTGAGAGGTCGCCTGCACCTCTTCGCAGAACCTGCAGGCTCTGCAGACAAAAAGATGCAGACGACGCTCTGCTGCACGCGTGACGGCCGTCGCACCCTTCACAACGGCAATCGCATCCTGTCGCACCACACGCCGCAGTCGATGTGCACAGTCTCCGTCTCACTCCCTCCTGCCCTTCTTACTGAAAACACATTGGTGGCCGTGGCACACCCACCGACATGTCAGGAAGCACTTGTTTTTCTTCTCCCACGCACATCGCACAGCAGCGCCGCCAAACACATGCCGCTCCTTCTTTTGCGGATTCTCCTCAGACACGCCTCCCGCCACATTCATCAACCCACAGGCACGCAGTCCGTAAACGTCACGCTGCTGCCCCGCATGATGGAGCCGCACACACACCAAAATGGCACCCCGCTACTCGGTGCAAGCAGTGTCTGGACACACAAAACAGGTCGCCCCAGTCAACAACAGCTCTCTCCAAGCAGTGAGGCATGACTCGTCACCAACAATCAAACAATCAGCCCCTCGTCTCCTCCTTCCGCCATGCACAAGTTTCTGCCTGCCCCATACATCCTCCGTGGCGCCCGGACTCTCAATGAGCAGAAAACACACTATGCGTTCCTTGGCTCAACGAGAAGCCCATTGACAATTCTCAGCCGGTCTTCTCTCCGGGCTATGCATGGAGAGCACCACGGCAAGAATGCACAGGAGCTTATATGCAGAAACCCTCAACTCATTCCACGTTAATAAAAAGCATGGCATCATACATGGGCTTCATAACAATGTCGACTTGCTCTTCCCTGAGAAGTCTCCAATACACATCGCAAGTGATCAGAGTAAAGAAAAAAGCAACGCCTCCAGTCCGACCGTCATTCCGCGGTGGAGATCAAAGCACAATCCCAAAAAATGCCTCAAATCATCATGTATTCCAAACAGACCATCTGCGACTCATGAGGCAAATGCACAGCACGGAAGAAGAGTCATGCTCACAAACACGCAACGCACAGAAAAAGAGGGAGTTGGGAGAAGCAGCACTAGAGAAACCTCAGCCAACGACAGAAGAGCTCGTGGGTGCAGCACCCAACGCCATTCTTTGTGAATGCAAATGACAATAACAACAAACAACCTGAAGTAACAGTCGGGCACCACAATATGGGCCACAGACACCACCCACTCACCCATTCACTCTTCTCCCTCCCAATGGTGTGGCCCTCCTTCACCTCCACAGAGACGCTTGCCGCTCAGTCATGCGAGCTTCCAACGCAAGCACTCAAGGTGCGCTTCGGTAATCCAAAAGCCAACACCTCTGACCAACAGAGGAGATGCTCGCAGAGGCCACACGGCTCCTCAACGCACCCTCCAACCCTCCTCACGACTCGTTCATGCGATGGAGAGGAATAAAAGCGACTCTCGCGTCACAAAACGTGGCCAATGGGAGCGGTGCCCACATGCAGAGAATGCCAAGTTGCGAAACAGAAGAGGCAAGAGGAGTGCTCGCAGTGGACGTCACCTGCCACTTCTGATGTGCGTCGTCTCATTCGTGCAACAGAGAACCAACGACACGGTTGTTGCGGTGCCTGCCCGTGTGTGCACCTCACTCTCGGGCCAATGAACGCCTCAGGGGACATCCTATCGAGAGCAAGCAGCTGGCCGTGCAAACAGCACCAATTCTTGCCAACGTCCCAGCGGCCGCTCTTTTTGGCGAGGCTCCGCTCTCCTTCTTCCTTGTCTCCCGTGCACCTTCCTCGTATGAAATGAAAACGCTCTCCACGACAGGTGTCGTCAAGTGCCTCCAAAGCAT